ACTATTTTACTGACTACCATAACTCATTATCTCTCATAAAGTCTGGGCACTCGACCAATCTGATTTTGTTATTTGCCCTGTCATATTGGAATCCGCGGCAGTGAACCGGCAGATATTCTAGCACGCTCCGCCGCTATGTCCACATCACACCATGTACGATTCTCACATATTCCAGCCACGGATTATTACCCCCACCTTAAGAACTTCCTTTGTACCCGATGGCAATCTTTCTGGTCAAGTCTTTGCACTAATAAAGTACATATTGAAAATCTATCAAGCTCTTCCTGGCAGATCCATTTCATCGGAACAGACAAAGACACGGCTCTCGCCTGCTTACGTACTGGTCACACCCGTCCAACACATTTCTGTCTGATGTCACGTTCTGACCCGCTCCTATGTTCCCTATGTAATGTTCCCCTTTCAGTTCCACACATTCTCTTGTCCTATCCACACTTTGCTGCAGCCTCTATTTTCCCTCACCTATCCTGCCTTCATCAACCTCCCAACCTGTCAGACATCCTTACGGAATCCCACACTTTCTGCTTTGACAATCTGTTTTTCCTCAGACGCATATTCTTCACTTAGTCTAATCTGCCTTACTTAAACCTACCTTAACCCGTTCACTCAACAACACCTTTACCCATCTTTAACCTTTCCAATACTACTCTAGATTGTTGACGTATAGCAACTAGCTACTTACTCAGCCCCTTCATTACCCTTTCCTTTAGGCCCCTTTAGTGCTACATGGTCTTAGATGTCTAGCACATTTATTTTGCTTTTAACCATTAACCAATCATTCCTGAAACCACCACCTTCCCCTGTTCCCTTATCTCATTCTCTAGATTCTTCTCCAACTACCATTTTACCAGTATTACCCTTTGCTTGTTTCATAATAGCTCTTTTGCAGTTTTCCTTATACTGTGTTACTCCCCCTTCCACAGACACGTACTCTCCATTTGATATAATCGCCCAATACACTTAACCCTTTCCTCTTTTACAAATCTCCATGATCCATTTGCTTCCCCTTTATACCCTCTCCACTACCATCCTACAGCGCTTTACAACCTTTGATGTCTAACTCATGTTATGCTAATCGTTAACTTATTTATACCCTCTTTGCCACGATACTATTCCGTGGTGCTATATGACTTTTGATATCTAGCAAATTTATTTCTCCAAATCATTAACTATTTAGAGTATCCAAAAATAGTTGTCAAGGGGCGTGGAGGACAACCAGCCAGGGAGCCAGAGGATACGTCACATTAAGTCTTTGGGACTTTAATAATCCGTTTAAGTGAAGGAGGTCCTGCCCCCGCTTTATTGAAGTCTATCCTTACTTATCCTCTCTCCCCCGAACCCCCAACCTGTCGAACATTCTCACGGAATCCCCCATCTTTTCAACAGCTTGTTCTTCTTCTAAATACCCTCCATTTGATGGTTAATGGTTAAAACAAATAAATGTGCTAGACATCAGAGGTCATATAACACTATGGTAAAGTATTGTGGCGAAAAGGATGAATCATGAGTTAACGATTAGGACAATTGGACAGAAGAAGGGGATGAAGAAGAGAAGGAGAAGGAAAGGCGGAGAAGAGAAGACCATGCAAAATTAGTTGAGGCAAGGGAGGTCCATTGTAAGTGAATCCCCCATACTGGTCCTCAGTCTCCGTCTCCGAAGCCTCCCCCCCTCTACCCCACCCCACGAAAACAACGAAGAAAGGATTGGAGAGGCCCCCATTTGATCCAATCACTCTTATGACTTTAAACTTTCCCCTTCCTATAATCCCTAGCCTACCCTATACGCTTTCTACTTTTTTCATTCCCATACTATCATATATTAGCCATATGACATTTTGTTCTAATAAAGAACTTCTTTAAACCCCTCCCACCATAATACTTTACCATAATGCTATATACCATATAATGTCTATCACATTTATTTGTTTAAAATTACCTGGACCGTCACACCACAGGGAAACCCGATGGTGATCGTTTCAGTGTTACGTGATGGAGCCCACGAGTCGGGCTATCAGGGGATAAAACTGTAAACAAAAGTGAGCGTTTTTTTTCTTCTCTTTGTGGGCGTGTGCGTGTGCGTGCGAACAACCGTGGGTGCCTGCAAGTGTGTGTATTTGTGTGCTTGTTTGTTTGAATGTACAAAAACACGCACGCGCACACACACACAAACTTATATATATATATATATATATATATATATATATATATATATATATATATATATATATATATAGACAGATAGATAAATAGATAGATAGATCGATATAGATATAAATGTATATATATTGCACACACATTTATTTATGTGTATATGCACATACACATATATATATGTGTGTGTGTGTGTGTGTGTGTGTGTGTGTGTGTGTGTGTGTGTGTGTGCGTGTGCGTGTGTGTGTGTGTGTGTGTGTGTGTGTGTGTGTGTGTGTGTGTGTGCGTGTGCGTGTGCGTGTGTGTGCCACGTTATTTGCATAGTTACCTTATCTTTCATTCACTTGACATCTATATACTTTTAATGAACCGTGCCTTTGTTATGACCCAGCCTCTTTTAGGTAACTCCTCTGATCTGTCCCTGAACGTTTACCGTAGAGGCAATTCAGTTCAGTGAGATCTGCGATCTGCCCGGACCTTATATATATATGTGGTCGGGCGCCGTAGAGACTCTAGTTTTACATGCTCTCAAAAGATTGGACGTTGTTGTCTCTACTATATAAAAGGCAAATATGACCTCATCACCCGCGGAGTTTTGCAGGTTGTTTGACATCCTGAGCCCGGATTCACGAACATGCGATCGTGAAGCATTTACCATCGCAAGTGCGTTATTGAATCCTGCTCCTGGAAGTAGTGCCGCAGGATAATATCTGGCATTTCACATGGCCACAGTTGAGTTTCTCTGGGCTAGTCCTGACTATGACTTGCCAAGCACATTGGTAGTCAGGTCTCTTCTTATAAGAAATTAACTCGGTTGATCTCTACTTCTACTCACGTGCCGGTTGGCTCTTGCTGCCTGGGCGGTGTGCTATCGGCCTGCTGTTGCTACTTTTCTACACCATAAGAGTTTACTACTAGCTCTTGTGACAAGTTCTGTCAAGTTTTGCTAATTAATCAGCAAGCTTGTTTCCTGGAGTGTCATTGTGGTTGGGTAGGCAGTTGAAAATGACTAACGTTATCATTCATTGTTTATACTATGAAAGAGTCAGATGGTTAAATTCACACTATTCCAGTTATATCCACTGTCATGGTCATCCCTACAAACCTCTCTCAGGGGCGTCAAGCTAAAAAAAAGAAAGAAAAAAAATGAAAGGCGGTTTTTATTTCAGCGACCTCCCCTACCCAGAATTACGTCATGAAAAAAAATGTTACATAGCTACGTGATGACGCTGATGATAGCAGCGTGTATATATGTGTACTTTGTTCATGGACTGGTCCATTTTTTTCTATTTTAGTTTAAACTTCCCTCGACGACCGTTTTGTCACGGGCAAATGATATTTCTGATTGTCCCGAGAGCCACATTTGGTCCATGGGCCATGAATTTGAATACGTAGCCTGACCGAGCCAGCCACCCGCATTGTTCCATTAAAGAAACCGTCTGCTGGAAGCCAAAACTGCCAGTTCTAGCGCATCCGTGTTTTATGCATTTCTGATACCTGTCAGCTCCCTCCTAAATCGTGGGGGGTTTCGGATTATGTTTGAATGTTATACTGATATATTATACTTTAATTTCATCTGTAATATATCATTTGCATACATTAATTATACACAATTTTTACATGGAATGAGGCCGTTTTGTTGTCATTTAGAACGCATATGAAGGTCTGGGAAGAGTTTAAAAATTAAGAAAAAATCACTATACGTATTACAGCAGAAGAATGAATGTTGCCGTCTTCTAAGTGTTGAAAGTGGATGTTCTTTGCAGATTCTGAACGTTTATCTTTCCTGCGCCTCCTTAATGTGTTAACTGTAAATTTGGATGGGCATTACCCCATCAAAATCACTCCCAACATCGCGTTATGTCATTTAAATGGTTGTGGTACTGTTATTTTATACTAGATATAATTGCAGGTCTTTTAAGAGTGTAAAGGATAAAAAAAATATGTAAGAAATGTGGAAGGAATTTCCTACATTTTCTTTCCCAAAGAATTAAATGTCTCTTGCAGAATTTGTAACTTTATGCACTCGTTAGTTGCTAAACCCCCTTCCTTGCACTGGGAAGCAGTTCTACGCCATCAAAGTTAACCCTCAAAATCGTTATTTTTAGGGTTAAAATTGGGAAACGGTTATTATATTGCACTGCAATTAGCATATTATAATACACCGAGTGTATCCATCAAGTCTATACTTATTTTTTAATTAACAGCTAATATATATTACTCGAAAGCGCTAAAAATTTGGTCCTTAGTTTCAGCACACGAGGTATAAAACGTCAAAAGTACATTTTATATAAAAAAAAGAAAGAGAAAAACGACTCAGACCATCAGGCAGTTCCTGTAAGGAAACAGGGATGTGATGCCTTGGGTTGTCCCCCCGGGGGAGGTCACTTGTCAATGAATGGTCCATTGACAAGTGACATGATTTCTCTCCGCCATGGGAGGATCATGCTCAAGCTTCATGGCAGGGTGGCTGCTTTTGAGGGTAATGATAAATAGAACTGTCATATTACCACTCGTTACACCTAAGGGCGTCATTAGGGAGGGGGCAATTGCCCCCACCCAAGAATGTGATTGCTCTACTCATGGTCTAGCTTGCCCCCCCCCCCTCCCCCGGGCCACACTCTCAAGACTTTTTTTTTGCTAAAATTACACCTTCATAGCTCAAGTCTCATCCTTGAAAAGCTGCCAGAATAGTTCACATCCTACTTATAATTATAAAAGTACATGCATTACGTACAACCCCCAAACAAAACTACGAAGCACACTCAGCCCCCCCAAAAAAGCGTCTCAGCGAATCAGAACTTGAGAAGTTCCCAGCCTCCCTTCCGATTGGGGCGTCGCGGCGAGGGCCCGAGACCACACGGCGAGAGCGAAGGCGTTGACGCAATCCGGCCAGAGAGCGCGAGCGGCTGGGCGAACACCTGCATCTCTCCTTTTGAATCGAGCTTTTTGCCAAAATCATGGACTTCTACAAAAATCTGACCGGTGAGACTTTGTTAAGGTGTAAAGGGGATTGGGATTCAGAGGTAGTATTTAGGATGATGGTGTTCGTTAATTGGGTATAATTACTTTACGGGGATGAATGCGAGGATGCCCGTATAGGTAACTTCGCATCAGGATCTTGTAGGACGGTTTTTCTCACGATGACGCAGGAATGCATAGGTTGAAAATGCAACATCATGCCCTGCACGATCACTAAAGACTGTATATATTGATTCAGGAAGTGAAATAGACTTTTGAGAGCCGGCGATCGATAGATTGAGAGCCGGGTATGAGGTGGAAAACGTATTATTATTATTGTTTTTTATCTTCGCTGAGCTATTTTAATTGTTAATCAAAGGTTTGCCATATTCAGTAGCACTGTATTTTATTAATGTAATGTTTGACACAAATCATGTGCAAATTTATCCAATATTTAAGTATTTTTTCCTCAGTATTCAGTGTCTCGTGTCTTATGCTGATGACTTCCTTATTTTACTTCATTCCTGACCCACAAAGTAGCTCAGGTGCTGCCACGCAATTGAATGCTGATTTAGAGCTGTTTTCTTCTTGCTGCAAGGATTAGGGAATGAAATTTCATCTTTTAGATTCTAAATTGACTTTTGAGGATCATATCAAAACAGGCTCCTCTGATATTATGGATTATTGAGGAAACGTAGATCCATTTTCAATGATTATAACATAGTTTTAAACAGTTTTTACTCCTTTTTTTTGCCTGCCTTTGAGTATTGCTGTCTAGTTTGGATGTCGGCCTCTCAGACTCATTTAAAGCTTCTGGAACATTGTTTTAACAAAATCAAATTTCTGTTGCCTAACCTTTAAGTACGTCTTGAACATTGTCAAATGGTTTGGGCTCTGACTTTATTTTTTTAAGATTGTTAACAGTAATGAACATCCTCTTAGTGCACTGCCTGCTCAATATTTGCCTGTTTCCAAATGCGTCAGAGTTTGCAAGTGAACGCGACAATCTTTTCCTCAATCAACCCATTTTCCCAGACATTTATCCCTTCTATGACCAAAGTATGGAATTTACTCCCAAATGATATTTTTTTCTTAAGTTGTTGCTAAGAAATTTAAAACTAAACACTAAGTTTGTTCTACTGCAATTTTTTTTTTTTTTTTTTTCTCTATCATTTCTCAATTTGTCATATTTATGTTTGCTCATCGATTGGACTCTGCTTGAGTCTATATTAGTCTTTAATTTTCCCCTGCTGCCCTTTTGTGGATTCTCATAATAATGATAATAATGTTAATATATAATTCAAGATATATCTTTGGTAAAGTTAGATTTTCACACACTACTTCCGTTGGCTTAAGAATTAGTTTTGACTTTCATACCTGGAAGATGTCACTCATAATCTATCATGAGTGACATCATGTGAATATAAATTGATATCATTAAATAAATTGGTTCCAGAAAATATAAAGGTTAGAATTGTTCAAAACATCTAATATACAATGATGGAAATCAAGGTATTTCTTTAAAGCATGAACACACTCCCCCAAAGACTAAGTCCTTCATATCACAAGATTTATTTAACCATCTAAGATTTATTTAACCATCTAGGGTGCCCTTCTGGCATTTCCCGAGGGGAGGTTTGATGGAGTCTGTCTCCTAACATCCCACAGGAGTGATGAAGCTTGGGAGCACTGAGTGGACGTAGGCTGTGAGCAGTGATGTCTGCAATATTTATTTTTGGTGTTACTGTTCATGTCTGCAGATTGTTTTTTGTATTTGCTCTTTAAATGTAGCCTTGATTAATCCACCCCATAAAAACAGTTTGGTATTCCATGTTCTTATAATTCAATAATGCACCTGTGGTCAGGGTGTGGTCCTGATAATATTTATTTTGCTATTGTACATAGAAGGGTTCTAGAACTATATTAATGAGTCACTTAAAAAGGATATGAATGTATTACTTCAACATCTAAGTACTTTCTATTTTGATATTTATAATTGATGTTATGATTTTTTTTTTATATATGATTTTCCTGAGGTTTTTGGGTGTAGTGTGACCAAAATAAGCAGTTTCCTTAATCCTAATTAGTCTATATCAGAGCCAGACAAGTTATGGGCTGCAGTGATAGAGGAATAGATTGCAAAAGTAACCATTTACTAGCATTTGCTACATAACATAGTGTGGCTCTTTACATTGACTGGTGAAAGTGGCCCCAAATGCTGGATGGCACCTGCTTTCTCTTTATTTTGTGGTCCTGACTCCCTATTTGCTGTCCATACTCAGACTGTAAGGGAAAACTTTGTCCCAGCACACTTGATTTTTATCTCGTATGAATAGTGATAAGCACAGCACAGCAGCAGGTGTGCTTTGATTAGTAAAAGGAGGAGGAAATTTTTATCATTTTAATTTTTCAAAGGAAAAAGTAACAAGCTATCTAAAAGATATGGTGAAAGGCCAGGTACTGATGAGCACTTAAAATTGTCTGCATTTCAAGTGTATTACAGATGTTAAGGCATATAACCATAGACTCCATGAACATTATATTATATCCTGTAAGCAAAGAAGCTCTTATGGGGAAATATATTTCTACTTAGTAGTCATAGCTCCTGCCTCTTTCCTCAGGTTATTTGTAAATTCATTGAAAGTAAAAAGGTAAACTATTGGATTTTAAATCATTTTGACAACTAAAATTTGAACTAAAGAATTAACTGGAATATGATTTTTTGTCATGTTTTTTCCATTTATACATGAATTAATTGTTGTTCAACAGTTTCAGACTGGGCCTCCCTCATTCCCTTTGGTATTGCATGCGCTGCAGTTGGGTTTGGGGTCAAGACGGTCGTGGACAAAAAGGTTAGTGTTTTTTTTTTTCTTATTTTTTATTCATTTTCTCTTTTCTTTTATTCCTTGTTTTTTGATAATCTTTTCTTTGATTTTATCATCTTTTCCTTTTTTTCTTTTTCTTCTTATTTTCTTATTTTCTTTTTCTTATTTTCTTTCTTATTTTCATGTTTTTTTTCTTTTTTCTTTTCTCTTTTCTTCTACTTTTTTTATTCTTTTCTTTTTTCACTTTTCTTTTATTTATTCTCCTTTTTAAAAATATTCTTTTCCTCTTTTCTTTTCTTCTTCACAACTTTAGCATAATAAGGGATTTCATTATTTAGAGCCTGTAAGATAATTAAATCTTCTTAGTATTTTGAAATTAGGATGATTTAGAGCTATTCTTTCTTTGTAGAAGAGTGAAAATAAGTATTTGTAGCAAGAAGGGAGGATTATTATGGAAAGTTAAATGCAATACTGAAACAAGTTTAACTCTAGTCTTCATTGGGTCAGTCTGGGGCAGTTGTTATGGTGCAGCTACTTGTAATGTACAGTATTTACCAATGATAAGGTAGAGAGAGGAAAATCAGAATCTTGATAAGAAGTTCAGAGAGTAATGGGATGATTATAATGGGTTTTAGGTTCAATTATGTTGTTGGGGCATTTTACATGTGTGTTTAACTGTTATGAATAAGAGGTTAGGCATTGTCCTATTGGTGTGTTAACAGTATATGAGATTGGTGAAAATTTTTAAAAGGAGAAAGTGGCTTAATCAGTGACTAAGTGTCATATCTGGCAATATGTGATAACTTTATTTAGTCAAGTATTGTTCTCGGAAATAATGAAAAATTGTTGATAGTAACAGCATGTGGCTTACTTTCTTTTTTGGTTTCTTTGCCACTGCTTTCACTAGTATAAACAAACTTTTAGATTACTATGATCATGCATAATATATATGTTGAAGATTTAAGCTCAACTTTTAAGTTTATTTATTATTTATAGAATTATGTTGAGATTTATAAAGAAAAAAGTGTAATCAAACTGTAGTAGTTGGCTAGATTTATGGATTATTATTATAAAATTTGATTCTATAACTACATTGCTCTTAAGACCCTGCAGCATTAAACAAGTTGCAGGGTCTATTCAGAGCTAAAGGGGAATCTTGTATACATTTCCAGTTTGTATTGGATGTTGCACTGAATCTGTTTTATTACATTACCTAACTAATTTCAGATTGGTAGTCCTTGCAATCCCAGTATCAGGAAAGGAGAGTCCAAGGTCGTTGATACTGTGGACATCGAAGATATAGGCAATAAGGCTGTCTTCTGCCGTTGCTGGCGCAGTAGCAAGGTAAGGGAGGAATGCAGTCTGTTTGTCTGGGAGAGAACAGTAAGGAGAGGGTATTGGGTTCTAATAATCTGTTGTTGTTGTTGTTGCTGATGCTGGTATTATCGTTATATTCTATTCTATATTATCAATTTGATATTTATTTAGTCATTTGTTTTCTATATTAATTTATGCTTTGTAAATTAGGGATATGTAAGTGTTTTAAAATGGATTTCAAGGTATTTGCATTTTAAGGATTTTGGGATAAGGAAAGAATATGTATTTGTATCCGATAGTGGTAAAAAAGTTAGATCATGATAAAATCATCAGTAGAAACAATTTTCTATTTTGCAAGGAAAAGTGATTTTCTTGATAAAATTCAAATGGGTCCTCTGGAATTACCAATATTAAAGAAAATCAAGGAAAGCAGTAGAAGAGTATAAACCTCAGTAAAGAAAAGTTGTAATATGAAGTAGTTTTAACAGCGCAGGCTAAGAACAGAGTTTCTGTTATTGCAGCTTATTTAATATGAAAGCTGCCATTAAGTAGTAACTTTGGCAAAAAAATGCTATACTGAAACTCATCACATCTCTTTAGTGAACTTACAACTTGAAAAGCATTGTTGTTTATCATATTTATGCAGTGGTAAAAAAATGAAAATTGTATACAGTTGTTGTCTGTCACCGATCTTTATGCCATAGCCCTCATATAGGATTTGTATTTAAGGTCATTCTAAGTCATTCTGGCCCAGTCAAACCCTGTAACTCAGGTATAGTTTGTTTGGGCTAGTATCCAGCTGCCAGTTGTTGATAAGGGGTTTATTGACTTATGCTGATGAAGACAGGATTACCTACTGTGACCAGCACCATGCCTTTCCAAAAGTTAGCAGCTTTGAGTAAATGCAACCACTCAGATCAATGACCAGAGATACCACAAATGAGATAAGGCCATTGGAAGTGTGCCTGAAGGTGCTATCATGTGATTCTTTGTGAGCAGTTGATCACCTTGAGGCTATCATGTTGAAATTGAAGTTGGCAACGACAGAATTTTTAATGTAATAATCCTATTGGCTGTGAATGGCTCCCTAAATACATGAGACATATTTGATTTCTTATATGCTTTGCAAGATATTTTGTATAAAGTGGTAACCCCAAAGTTTTTGAAACCTCATTCACCAAGATTTTACTGGCAGATAACAGAACAAACTTCAAATTGCAGTTTACAGCTGGTCTTCTAAAGGTGATTCAGTGATGTTCATTTAGGCAGTTCTCAATTATATGAAGGAAAGCCCTGCAGAATAGACTGATTTTTTTTTTTATCTTCGTATTGATTTCATGGAATCTCCTAGTATCACATATTTTGGTTTGTGAAATCACTGGATGTATCTCTTGCACATAGACTTCCACTATTACCAGTGCAGTGGCCAAGACAGTACCATAGAATACCAATCATGTCAAATCATTAGTGAAGGTTGGGTACGCAAACACTTATGTAAATGGGATGAAAGTTTTTTTTTCATTGATTACAGGTGGTATTTTATTTTTGTATTACTTCATTCCTTAACCTGTTCACTTGGGGTAGCATCTATTACTTGGTCCACAGCTGGACAGTAATGCCACAACAACTCTTGATAAGAAGTTCAACTTTTGAACACTGGTCTTCTGAGGGGCCAATTTGCTCTACAGGCATTGTTGATATTGAATATGGTTGTTCTATAGAAAAGACCTCTGCAACATTAGCAATAAGTCTTATTAGCTGAATTTCTAGGCATTTCATCATGTATTGTGCTGTATGGATTGTGCCACTCAGTGGCTGGAAGCTTGTGTTTGCTACCCTGTGGTCTCAAATCTCCCAGAAACTGAGTCTTTGCTCTCCTAGAATACTGACTTATTATAACTGTGACCTCTGCATAGTCACGGGAAGCATACCCAGTACTTGGTGCATTCATCAAGACATGCAGGTGTCACAGAACATGCATCCTGTCCCCAAAGGATTTAAAACAAAATAAAGCAAACAAACAAGCTATAGACAAAAGTATATAAAGTTTGATATCTGTGGAATGAGTGTAGTAATTGAAAATATCCTTTTTTAAAAGGATAGAAAATCAACCTGAAAAAGCTTATTCCTGCCCCCACTGACTTACCCACAATCATAAAAGATTACATGTAGAATGATATATTTGATATTGCATTTGTGTTTTCTCAACACTAGGAATGATTGAAATAGATCTTTTGTGCAGAATTAGACTATGAAGCTTGAATTGCCACTATAAGGAATGTAAAGAAAACTTATTGGCCACTGATGTGATAGACCAGAACTTTCCTTACGTTTGAATAATGTTTAAACCCTGTTTATAGGATTTTTAAAAATCTCTGAAAAATTTATTCTTGGCCTCTCTCTTTCTGTCAGTTAGACCATAAGTTCATTGTTCCTCTTCTTAGACATTTACTGAGTATCATGGATCTGCAGTTTTACTGCATTTAGCAAATGGTTCATGTAATTAAATTAGAATAAAAATTGTTAGGTGTACACAGAAATATGAACCATTGTTTTTAGACATTTCTCACTAATGTTTTTCTCTTATTTTTATTATTTTTGTAATTTATAATGAAATGTTAGATAGTTAACCCACTTCTAGTCTTCCAATGTTGTCGTTGCTATGCATTTGATGTCGCAGTTTGTGCCACACAGTTGAATGGTGAGACTGAATGTATGTAGAACTTTTTCCCAGGCTCTTTGTTCATAAAGTTGTTCTTTGTTATATAGAATAGAATCCGCTAAAGGGTGGTCTCCTGCAGCACATCTTTTGTCAATGAGTGTGAGCAGATATTTTAAGTTGCCTAAGCATGTCAAGAATAAGGATGAAGACATAGTTACTAATATTTTGGTTTCCTCTTTCGTGGTTCTTGCTATGCTGTATCATGTGAAATTCTGGGCCTCTTTGCCTTGAGCTGAAGTGAAATTTGCTTTTATGCTTTTATGTGGAATTGCTGTGGTATTGAGGATGGCTTATGTGCGAAAGTCTCTTGGTGTAATGATAAAAGTCTTTGTTTACCTTTGAACATGTGAATGGGTACTTGATGTTAGTCCAAGATGCTAGCTATTATTTCAGTGGTGTTAGTGCTGATGTTTACTGAGGATTCTTTAGCTTTTAGCATTTTTTTTTTTTTTAAACGAGGATTTAGTTTCATTGTTGTACCTGGATTTTGAGTCCTGCTATACCATGGGGATTTATTTTCTGCATTGTCATGTTTATTTCATTAAGTTTCGTAGAGCTGGCTGTAAGGACCTAGATTTTATGCGTCCGTAGAATGAAATATTACTTAAAGTGAGGTTTAATGGTAGCCATTTTAATTCCCATGAAGACAAAATTACAGTTTTCATTGTAATAAATATTCTAACAAATTTTGTTCTTTCAGTTCCCATATTGCGACGGCACCCACAATGGACATAATGTTGCATGCGGGGACAATGTAGGACCCCTCATCGTTAAGAAGAAGGATTAAAGAAGCAAATAGAAGAGTATAGTGAGCACATTAGAACCATCTCCCTGGCACAGTGAGCTCTAAAGACATTGCAGCTTGTAGTGATTATAATCTATCACAGTACAGTATACTATATTATCCACTTGTGTGTCTCAGACAAAATGTAGTGAAATGTATGTATCTGATTATGATTGCAATGATTTGAAAACTGCACAGGTTTGATTTTAATGTAAATTTTAAAAGATGGGTATTTTACATTTGAACAACTACAAAATAATAGTAAATGAGTTTGATTTGTGTGCCAGGTTATACCTAGTACAAAAATGTGCTTGTCTTAATTTTTCTTTGTTAAATCTTCTAATTTGTTTTTGTACATTGCTTTCCAAAACCCCCCCACAGAAATGGGAAAGTTTTAAGAAAATTACTTGCATTTGAGATGGTCTTTTGTCTTTTGCGATATATATAAAAAGTTGAACGGTAAGCAAGGAATGTATTAAACAAGGCTGTGAAGACGAGATAAAATATGTCTAATTGCTTGCAGGTTCTTTGTAAATACAGGGTCAGATTTGTCAGTGCTATACCTCAGTTTAGATTTGATCAATAATTAATTCAATAATATAAATAACTAAAGCTATTGTTGTCATTGCCAAAAGTTGAACTTTGAATGAATAAACTTGCATGATTTTATAAGACTTTAAATCTGCATATTTTCCTTTTTATTGGTCATCTGAAGAAGGTAGCTATTTCTGTTATTTTTCTGTTAAAACATGCAGGAGAGAAAAGAAAATACAAGTTATTTTGTCAATAAATACACATGACAAATTAATGATTGCATTTCATTCCCATCCCTCATTAATTAAGTGTACCCTACATTTTACTCAATTGCTTAACTTTTACTTAATTTGTTGAACCCCCCTAATCCCATGTCCGTTGTTGCCGTGGGGGCTGAGGAGATGGAGACTGAAGCCCAGTGTTGAGGATCTCGCCATCCTTGGGCCTCAGCTTTTGCCTCAATCAATTATTCATGGTCTTTTCTTCTCCTTTCATTTTCCTTCTCTTCTCCAACTCTTCTCCTGTCCATTTTTCTAAGATGAAAGAATAAAAGGCTAGCTTTGGGTCAGTCCTGAATGATCACAGTGTTTAGTTATCCAGCTCTTCCCTTCATAGGGACCCTGAGAGGTGAACCATTTCTCCTCCCCCACATACTTCAGGCTTACAATGGCCAATAATGAATTTATACCTTTATTAGGGTCTTTGAGGCTTGTCCCTTTATCCCCGGGTCACCTTTGATCTCAACTTTGAATACTGCTATTACTCCCCCTTCCTGTCAGCTCAGTCCAATGCAAGTCCCCTATCTAGGTCATTACCCAACTTCAGAAAGCATTCCTCCACTCCATCTCCTCATCCTCCACAGCTTTCTTAATTTTCAACTCTTCCCCCCCCCGCATTTCTTATTACTACTCTATACTTGTTCGCCTACCTTTCGTACTACTTTGCTCAACACCACTCCCTCCTTCCGTCCTTGTCCTTCATCTACATACACCTCTACAAATTTTTTAACTACAATTTTCAGTTCAGCTAAGTGGGGCCAATTTTTTGTGATTCCCCTACAGCCCCTCCCCCAATCCTATGCTGCTGTTACCATGGTTGGCTTAGCAGATGGAGACTGGGACTCAGTGCTGAGGATCACCCCTGCCTTTTGCCTCAGCCCTCAACTCCACTAATTTTGCACAGACTTTTTCCCTTCTTTTTGTTTCTCTCTCTTTTCCGACCCCTTTTACTATCCACTGCCTGAGGTGTGAAAGGTTGAAAAGCTGACTTTGTGCTAGTCATGAATGGCCTAGGGTAGCCATGGGC